TGGGTAAGAAACGGTTGGTTCATGTTAGTTTCGGTTGAAACACATTGGAGAAGACTTTGGAAAGGTCAATGGACCCCAAGATAATTACTGGAAGACTGATAATTCTTGATTTTTGAGTTCCTTCCTTACATGGTTTTTGAAATTGGGAAGGGTGCCAATGCTTCTTCTCAGAGATTGGAACCCCCAGCGCGCCACGACTCTTTCGCCATCAGGCCTCACGCTGGCCTTTGCCTGTGTTCATTTGATCCACCCTCTGGTAATCTAACGCATGAAAATCACCATTTTGAGGAGGTAAATTTTAAATCCTCCATAAGTCATCTATATATAATATGTTATTTCCGTAGCTTGGTAGTTTACCGGAGGGTGTCACAAGTCTTTTTAATTTGATGTGCCCGGCTCCAGACGTCAGGACTTTGGCGTCCGCTAAAGCCCTCAGGGGAACTTTCCATCATAGCCACGGGGTTTCCCAAGAATTGGCGCAGCTTCACGACACAGCTGGGCCTGGCTAGGCGGCCGTCTACAACAGATGATTTTCCATAGCTGAAATGACCAGAGAAATGTGAACCAAGTTAAACCCAAGGGATCTCAATGACCGAATTGGTGTTCAGTGTGGGCTTTCTGTCGAAACTGGGACAGCGAAATTCCAAGAAATGACAGATCTGACCTGCTGCCAATTTCGAAATTGCCCGCGCCATCCCCACACCTCCTTGACTTCTGCTTGTTCTAGGCGCTGACGTGAGTGCCCATAGGCCACACTCGAGCCAACCTCAACTCGACCCCCCCCTCATAGATTCATAGATGTCACCCCACAGTCTGGTTGGTAGGCATCTTATTCCCAGCCAATGGCTTTTGAGTTATGATGGTGGACTGTGAGCATCCTCACGCCCTCCACAAACTCAAAGCTTCACTGCTGAAGTCTGGAAAAAAGGGCAACTTGGGGCTGCCTAGTGCGTGCATCCCAGGCATCGTACCGTAAGATGATAAACATGTTTTTTTGGCCCCAGCTACTTATAATAATATATATATACATTATATAATATTATATATATAGGTAAGTAGTAAGTATATCTCTGTCTCTATCGCCATCTCGTCAAGTGAGACTGCCAGAGGCAGAGGCGAGCATGCGGTCACGAAACACGGAGGCAACATCGTGACTCAGTGCATGTGACGAATTGAACTGACAAGTCACTGACAAACGAAAATCACAATGGTAACTGTACAGGAAACAAGCGATGTAGATTGCGCACAGGAACGAATGAGTTCCGCAAACTGGGTACCACCTACCAGTGCATGTGAAAGGGGCAAGCCATCAGAAGATTTTTTTTTTGCAACACGATCCAACCCAGCCCTTTTCTCAAGCTCACGTCTTCGGATTTCTCGACGCTGGCACTTCTCCTCGTGTCTCACATCTGTTCCAGCTGCAGAATGGCGGTCTACGGAGGACCTCGCATCAATGCTCGGGGCCGCATTTGAAAGGGTGCCTGGGCGGATATGCAAGTCTTAAGAGGTGACCAGTCTATCGGGAGACGTTCCTTCCTGCTCATCTGTGCCACGGCTGGAATGGGCTGGCCGAAAGTGGGGCGCAAGTTTTTCCACCAAGTCTGGATCTTTTGAATGATGCCTTCAAACTCTTGTGCGTTGTCAGCATCTGCGTTTCTGTTTGGGTGGCTTGATCAGAGAACGGTCGAACCATAGCGCTTGCATATTGGCCTGCGGCAAGGTCTTGATCGAGAAGTGTGCTAGTTGCAGGATCTCTGAAAGAGGTTGTCCCAGGCAGATGCTTCTCATCTGGCTCATGTCCATCCAAACCCAAAGCAGAGTATGACATAATGGTCTGGCAATGCTCACACATTCATTCTCGTTTTGCTCCTGGGTCAAAGCATAAAAACCATGCCAAAGATGCTGGGCAATTGAAACTCTCCCCTGCTTTGTGGCTAACCTAAGGCTATATCCGATGCACGAAATGAGCTTGCGACGTGCCATTGCAGTACAAAGCACTGTGAATTTGAAATTTCTACCCTGGGACGGGTCTCGCAACCAAAATGACTTGAGCAACAGATGGCTTGAGCCATTTTATATATATATATATATATCGATTGATTGATTGAATATCCCCAGTATTCCCATGGGTCATAAAGCACTTGCCACTTACACACCTGGGGTCTGAGACCCAGCAACTGCAAGGACAGCCCCCAGCAACTGAAGGCGGTTGATGACCAGCTGCTGCCAGAAGGCCTACGATCGCTGGAAGTGCTGGGTTTCTGGTGCGGTTCCACCGCATCAACCTATCCCACCTCCCTCTGAACACATATCCATAGATGGCCTATGGGTGGCCTATGGATACTAGATATATCTAGATATTCTAGTTGTATTCTTAGCCTCTCGGCCAAGAGATTTTAAGCTAGAAAAGTGAGAAACAATCTAAGACAGCTTCAAGCGAAAAATCATGCAGCATCATCTAATAGCCAGGATATAGCCACGATACAGTATTATATACCATTCCCCAATACCCAGTGACCTATGGTTGTCCTGTTGCTGGAATAGACCATGAGAGGTCAAAGTCTGCAGGGGACGCCATGGCACATATCACATATCCATTGGCAGCCTGGAACCTTCAGGCCTCGATAAAAATGATGATGAATTTGTTGGCATTGACCAGCATCAAAAAGCCTTGGCCATAGGTTGTTGCCATCCCTGCCATCCCTGCCATCGCTTTCTTTGGTTAAGAACAGATCTTATAACTGAAATCCATTGAGGATACAAAGCCCCGTGGAAACCGATAAGCCACAGTAAAAACCCACAAACCTTCTGCGTTCCAGTGTAGACATGTATGAAACATGTTCAAAAGAGCCATGGTTTCCTGCCATTTCCCCCGTTTCATTCATCACCACCCAACGTCTATGACAGCCATGGGACTGGTTGCGCTGATGAGGCTTTGCGCCCAAACTCCTGTGTAGCTAATGCCGACGCTCACCAAACAACTGAGCAGGACCTCAGGTGACGGCCATGACAGCGTCCATGTGGCCATGACTTGGGGCCATGAAGATTCTCCAGTTGAAAGTGAGTTGTACGCTGTATGTCTCCTTATGATTTTATGATGTGCCATGGATTAGCTAAGGTCCCGAAACACCAGCAATAAGCACTGAAACCATCAACTGCATCAGTTGCATGTGTTTTTTTCTCTGACCTTTAGCCTTCAAACAAGATACCTTTCAGTCTTCCCTCTTTCCCTTGAAACCAAACAAAACCAAACGACCAAACTGTATCAAACTGTTCCATGTTTTTCAATTTGGGTCTGAAAATGGGATATACCCAAAGTGGCAGTTTTCATAGGGACAATGACGTTCAGTTTGGCATCGTTTAACCCAAAATTTGAGCGTTCCGCGAATCTTTCGAGCCTGGTGACATAAGCCATGCTCTCCTGGTTGAGCTCCACCAAATGCCTGGGACCCACGGGCACCTCGCCCTCAAGGACTGCCACGGCAGCCACCTGAACCGAAGTCCGAACAACTATGGCATACCTGGCCCTGCATCGAGACATATATATATTATATATACAGGAGATATCCATGGTATTCCAACATTAACATACATTGACACTCTCCCTCTCTCAGCATTAAGACAATTTAGTATTATTGCAGATTACTTATTATTATTTGCCATTGGTAATCAGTTTTGTCTTAATGGTGAGTGGCGTGTTCTGCCTTCTGGGGCCCTGATTCCGCAAGCTGCAGGTGGAGCCCTCAGAAGTTTCCAACTCACAGACCTTGTAGTTCATGGTAACTACCTCATGATTCTCAAGTCTCAAATCGCATGAGCACCAGGATCAGTCCCGAATCCTCCAAGGCACCACCATGAAGCCCATCACGTTGTTGATGAGCGCCACGCCCGCCCGGGAGATGTTCACCGGATGTTGCTCCTTCGCCAGCATCAACCGTTGCAGCAGTCGATCACCAATGGCCTCGGGAAAATCATCGGAAGCATTCATAGAATTTACTGGTAAGTATTAAGTATAGTATGTATGGTTGTTCTACACCGGGGCTTGCTATAAATAATGATAATCATCTCTAATCCCATCCCTGCAAAATTATCTAGTCAAATGATGTCAAGTGGGTGGTTTATGGAGGTTTCAAGTACATCTTAGACCCTGTATCAAGGTTGAATTGTGGCCGGTACTCGTTTAAGCCCTCTTGATTATAATTTTGAGTCAACATGAGTCAACTATGCAATGCAAATGCAGATCCTATCCAGAATCAAATTGGAAACTAGTTTCAAATGCAATTTTTTCTCGCCGTTCGTGCATGTAGCTGCCTGCAAGGCACACGAGAAAGCTGGGAAAAAAACTGAGAGGTACTATGCCCATGTTTGCTTGTTCTATGTGAATACATGCCGAGTCATTTACATTTTTTGCTTAGAGGGGTGAAAAAGAGCACTTCATGATTGTGCTATCAGAATCTATCAGATATCATCATTCATCGTGAAATGGTCATCTTTCTGGTTCTACGCAGCCCAAAAAAAAAGCACAGCTGCTTGTTGGCCGCCATGGGATTCCAGCTCTTTGCAGCCACTGACATCTCATACTTTTTTTTGACGGCACGTTTGATGCCTGAATTCATCGAGGTCTTTGACCCTTTACACTCCTGCCTCTTAGGCTGCTACATGGATTTGTGTGAGAATAGAGGCTAAGCCCCATGTAATGTAGCCCCAAGATTTTTTTCTGGCTCATCACACCATTCTTTCTCGAGGATTGGTCATTTTGGGGTATACCACGCGGTATACCCCATCTTCACACACTCCCACATGATCCCACGGGTTCTTTGCTGTCCTTCAGGAACTTCAAGTCCCTTCCTGGTCCTCAAATGATCTCATCCATCTTCGCCCGCGCATGCGTACGGGAGCTGAGCCATCTTCAGATCTCCAGATTCAGATCTTGAGGATCGCACACTGATGGGCACTGCCACTGATCGCCATTGAAAGCGACCCCGAGGCCGCTGTAGGCATCATGGAAATGTGAACTGCTTCTTCTCCTGGATTACCTCTGAGGGATCTTGCGGCATGGGATGGGTTTGAGTTTCAGATCTTTCAGCCTCCAAAAAAAATATCATCTCCAGGGATGCTGCAGGAGTATCACATATTTGCCAAAATACCCCCCAAAAAAAAACAAACGCAGTAACGCACACTCCTGCAAGTTTCAACATAACCGGCAAAAAACATGCAAATATCATCAAACAAATGCCACCAATGCAGTCGAAATGGTTTGCGATCTCTTAGAAAATAGATCAAAACATCACGACAAAAAGAGAAGGTTCTGTTATCACCCTTAACAATCCTTCAGAATTATGTCAGTTGTGCACCACCCCCGGCAATGATGCCAGTTTGCCACGAGTTCTCGTTGAACTTCTTGGAGCCTCGTGGCATACCTCGGCGGATTTTTTTGGGGAATTGTGGGGGCATCAGATTTTGATGGAGCTTTGCTAAAATGGGATTACCCTCTGGTAAACTAACATAGCTATTGGAAATGGCCATTTATAGTTGATTTACCCATTAAAAATGGTGGTTTTCCATAGCTATGTTAGTTTACCAGAGGGTACCAGAAGTCATCCAAGTCATTATCTTGAAACCCATTGTGACTTGGTGACAACTGGCCCCCCCATATTAAGATCATCCTAAAATCATCGGTGTTGCGCGCGTTCAGGATGTGAGATCAGCCAGTGCCAAACGTACCTGCACTGTACTCGAAACTGCTGCTTCACAAGAGATACCTACTGCCATATCAATATGCAACCATAGATCTTAGTTATCTTATATCATTGTAGTTTACCATCCCAAAACAAACAATGTTCAACTCTTCCCTGAAGCCACACAGAAACAGGACCAGCCGAGATGGCGAACAAGTTGCAACTGATGATTCTTGGTCTTCTGGCTCTCTGTGATGAGCCACTCAATGTGCCTCACATGGGTTGCAACTTCCACAGGGGAACCTTTGGGATAAGCGTGGGATGAAATCAAGAAATATCGGCATGATCGAAATATGGGTGCCCAAAAAACGGTCGTTCTAGTCTAGTAGGGAAAATGTGATTACCACTTTAGATTTGGGTCGGGTTTTCACCTAAATTCTCAGATTGACAAAATTATCCAAAAGTCATATATGGTTTCCGATCTTTAGTCCGCTCATTTTTTTTCCTGGTCATCCAGGTCCAAGTCTCCAAATTCTCCAAATTCTCTAAGTCTCCACCTGTTTTGTGCCTAGAAACTGCTGAATTTTCATCTCCCGATGCTGGAGCCGTTTGGCCCGCAGGGAGCCAGCAATCTCCACCATAAAGGCGACAAGACCACTGGGCCCCACCCAGACCTGCCTGGAAGCCAGGCACGATTTGAAGCACCCGAGATTCGAAAAAATGCCATGGATTTCTAGATGTTTTTCTTTGATTTTTCCTATAGATTCTCCGGAAACAATAATGATCCCTATTATTAGTTACTATCATTGCTATTAAAATGACTATCAAGTCATTGATGTAGATAAATATAAATATGTTTGGGTTCCTTGCAATTGGTATGAAAATTGCTTCTCTTATGGATCAATAATGTGAAAGGATGTGAAAGGAATAAATGGTGGGTCACCAAAGAGAAGCAGAAAATTGACTCTGTGGCAGGGGACTTGCGGGGATGTCGAACCAGGGGTTCGTCCCACTTAATCACCTCGAAAAAATATCCGGGATACTTCTCTGTCCCACTTTGGTACAAAATCAAAACCTCAGGACAGGACTGACATGGACTTAATGACTTACACCCTTTCCACAGCCATAGTGCTGAACCAAGGTGCCCCAACTTGCTGTTGGTGGCCTTCTGCAAATATTCCACCGGTCGGCAGCGGCACAGCACCGCATCTGGCCTTCCACAACTGAGGATCTTCACGATGTCCAAGAGGCCCCACAGAGCGTTTTTGCCAATAAGCATGGTGGTGCCTACGATCAGGGCAGGCATAAAGGACCATGTTAAAGAACTGTTTTTGCTTTCAAACCTTCGAGGTTGTCCGGCAAGAGTCTGCCAAAAAGCGACGGGTTGTCCTGAAGCGTTTCCTTTTGGCACATCTGGGAAGAAGTATTTTAAGCATGGGAGGAAAATATGCTGCGGAATGTGCTTCTGCTGGGTGGTTTTTTTCGATCCTTTCGCCTCCCCAGGCAACAAAATCCAGCTGAAAGGAGTTGAAGTACAAGCGCCAGACCTGAAGAAATGATGAAATGTCCCATGGATCCATGTTTGGCCATCTAATCTAAACATGAGAAACAACAGCATGGCTTTGGGAAGGTCCATGATTTCTGGCACATACCCCCCGAAAGAGCCTCCGAACGTATATGCAGTTCCCCACTACTTATCATTCTCTCATAGTTTGGCCCCTGAAAATAAAACCAAATCAAAAACTTGAAGCAAATGGTGACACACCAAGAAGGGCAACTGCAGGCATAGCAAGGACCGAAAGGCATCAAGGACCTTGCCCGCATGTTGAAGTCCAAACCCAGCTGGAACTAACGGTAACTGCCACCGGTAATTGCGGGATGAATCTTTCTTGGAAAGGAGTAAACACCACAGCCGTCTAAAACAGTTCGAGCAGTAGTTAAAAACTGGTGATTGGAATGTCGATGTGGCAGTATTGGATGCAGGAACCCAATTTACAAAGTGTTCATTGTTCATTGAAACCGGCAAGGCCTCACACTCTGTGCTGGAGGCATTTGCTTGCTATTTGTGACAAAAGAAGTGCTCGTCATTTTCATTCATTTTCCAATGTCATTGGGTACCCTCTGGTCATGAACAGTTTGCTATGGATTTTACGGCCCATTTTGCTTCGATGATTTACCATGAATTGCTTGACAAACATGGTGATTTTTCCATAGCAAACTCTGAAATGACCAGAGGCTAAAACCCTTAATATCTTCATGTTTGCTGGTTATATAACTTCTATCATGTTATATCCCTATGAATCACCATAAACATCCCATTGAATCCCCATGAACCATGGCCTTTCGCCACCATCTCGCCTGCGCCCTGCGTTCAAAGAGCAAAAGCCGGTCACCTTCACATAGCTTTGTCGGGAGAATATCCAGGCACAGCAACCCACAAAGTTGGAGAAGGAATGTTTAAAATCCCAGCCTAAAGTATCTAAAATATGGCGGGACATGACTTTTTGATACTTTTTGAATGTCTTCGATCTTTCAATGATCAATTGGACTTACACGTGCCAAATAATTGACGGTTATAGCTATGATTAACTGATTAACTATGCGTGTACCAATTGGCAATGTTCATGAAATGTCTGACAAACCGTTGGATTCTTGGGGCTTGCCTTGTTGCCCTCTGGATCCCTCTGGTAATCAAACACGGCCAGCTGAGAAATCTCCTAAAGTGGGAAAAGTCCCGAACTAAATGATAGATTTTCCTCTATACTTCTACACAGGTGTTACTAAGCCTATCTCCAGGAGCGTCCATGGAACGCTCCTACAGCTCCGAGCTGGCCTCCTGTTTCAAGCTCCTCCAAGTGCAGCCAGCCACTGCAACAGGGCTGGTCCATGGTGTCGCTTTCGTCTTTTGAGAAGTCGGGGTTCAACTGATGCAACGGAAAGATGCCTCCCAGCTGCAAGGGCTGGGAGGGTTGGAAGGTTTGGTGGGGCCATGTATGTGCCAGATGGTTGGATACTAAATTCAAAATCACAATTCTTGATGTACCAACGTACCATTGATACTATACTCAAGTGGGGATGGACCATCCCCTCCAGCAATGCCTCTGGCACACTGTCCACTGGCTATCCCATGTCATCAAGCCCTGGCCTGTCTCTGGCTCCTCACCATCAGTGAATCTCACCAAGTATGTACCTCCTTCCAAGTCCTGCCGCAGCGCGCGGCCGGTGCGCGCAGTGCGCGGACCGTGATCGGCACAAAGCAGGCCGGGCTCGTCATCTGAAAGCTCCTGGTAGAGCATGACCATCTGCCCTTCCTGGCAAACAGGAATAAAAGTGCCGGTGGGACCAATGGTCAACAAACCCCTAGTCCTAAAATACTAATCGACTGATCAACTGGAGGAAACCGTCTGAAGATGGAAAGGAATATATTTGAAGCCAGCAAGCAACAAATCCCAAAAGGCTCGAGGACATGGATATGATGTGCAGTGACGAGGATGGCAATTTGCGAAGCTCATCCCTGAAAATGCAACTTGTGCCATTCACCAAATCTCCCCCCCACCAAAAATTGCACTTCTAACATCTCCCATTCCGGAACCATTTTCGCAATTTCACTGCGGGTTACCAGGACTTGGACCCACACCCACATCATCCCCTCTCCCCATACAGAAAAAATGCTCAGAAAACCCTCTTTGGATGCACGGAATCTCTTTCTTTTTGGATCTTTTTGGGTTCCATTTTTTGTGGGATGATTATATATATATATGTATACATATCTTACATTACCATCATGAATCATGAAGATATAGAGACAGGATTGGGACTACCCATCCAACCGCGCAAGCGCAGCTAAAACAAAGTGTCGTTTCCGTCCAGCTCCAGGGTGTCAGAGACCTCCTTTTCAGCCACGGCAGAGTCGTCAGGGGCCGGCACCAGGGCCGAATAGATGATGGAAGAGCAGATGGCGGAGGCGAAAGCAATGGCAAAGGTTGCATAGACCTAAAGACTAAAGTGACTAAAGGATCCTAAAGGTTTCAAGGCCCCAAGGGGGCCCCAAGCCCTTGAAAATACTATGCCACAATGGTAGGTAGCGAATGGAATTTGGGTGTAAACCAGCTTGACACCCCGCAAAATCAGAAAAAGTATCTTCCGTCGTAAATCCTCATAGTATGCAGCCCCCGAAACTCTGGTGGAACGTGATGGATATGTTCATTTGGGGTCCCCTGTAAAATCAGGATATCTGCTATCCGGGAATGCGATTAATCATTAATCTGACCCGGGTGCAAAATCTTATACGAATCATGCAAGGTATAGCATAAGTGTAATGCTGCAATCCACCGACCCGTATTTTGCATTACCAAGCTCAATGAGGGCTTCTGCAAATACATGTCTATAGGAAAAAATGCCCAAATTGTGAACCCTATAAATCCCAAATGACCACAGCTGGATCCCCCCCCATCATCGAGTCAACAAGGCACCGCGTGCACTCGCCACGTGTCACGTTTCTGGGGGCTGCCATCAGAAGAAAATCCATAGGCGGGATTTCCTTGGGTGCCACTAATAGCCACTGACAGGGTGGCCACCTCGTGAAATGGTCACCCTCCTTTAGGAGTTTTTGAGTTTTCGAAAATCCATCTAATTATAGTCATCAAAGGATGCCCCTCCCCAAGTCGGAGTTAAGAACCCCAAATGACCTGCAGCTTGGTCTGATTTGCCCTGTCGAAGCTCTTTCTTCGCGCTGAGAATTTCACCAGAATTATCCCAAAATTGCTTTCAGGGCACGCTTTTTAAACATATTAAATAGATCATATGTCTGTGTGCATGTATAATCATGTACTATACATTAGTGATGTTACTTCTGCTGCACAATTTCCATGTCAGCAAAAGCGATCTGTTCCTCGCCCCAGCTCCCAACTCCCAGCAGGTCTCGAACATAAGGAAACTCCAAATTTGTGCTGAAGATGACGGCATCCAGGATATCCAGCCAGGAATCCTGGCCATGGCTGGCCATGGCAGATCGAAAAAGGTGAAAAATCCCAAGGCCCAGGGGATCCCAGCGGATCCCATGGGTCCTTGGTGAACTCCGGCGTCCCCAGTTGCGAGGCAAAGTAGCCGTGGCGTAGCACCCAGCCCACCAGCAGAATGGCTAACCACTTGGTAAGCATAAACCTGGGTACACTTGGGTGACCCCTAGCCGAGCTCCCCTAAGGTGATAAGCCATGAAATGCCATGAAGCCTGGTGAAATTGGATCAACATGATCAACCAAATCAGCTATCAAAGGGCACCCACCGTGCTATTTGGCTGGAGCCAGTCTGGCGCTCTGAAGTGTGACTCTGGCTCTGGCGCTCTGAAGTGTGACTCTGGCTCTGATCCAATGTTGTAGATGAGGATGATGTTGATGATGATCATATGATCATATGATCATGATGATTCACAAGCATTCATTAGAATGATTGCTAGTATTATTGCCCTCTCTCTCTCTCTCTTCATGATTCTGATTGCAACTGCATGCTACTATCATGACATGTCATGATTATGATGTTTTTTTGTCCCGCGCGGAGTCAGGAGTACGAGGCAAGGGAAAATGCCAAAACTGATTAAGCAACACACATCAGCTTGCCAATGGCGCGGCACAGGCTGCTGAACCCATACAGTCGCAGAAAGAAAGTCTCTGTATGTCTTTGTGCCCCGCGCGGAGTCAGGAGTACGAGGCAAGGGAAAATGCCAAAACTGATTAAGCAACACACATCAGCTTGCCAATGGCGCGGCACAGGCTGCTGAACCCATACAGTCGCAGAAAGAAAGTCTCTGTATGTCTCTGTGTGTGCATGAGCTTGACGGCTAGCCAAAATTTCTGGAGCTAAGACCGTCCAATGCAAATCAATACTACCCCTTCGGTAGTGCTCTAATTAATACCCTCAACTACGAGCAGAGGAAGTTTGCAGATCCCCAAAAAGGTGTCTGTGTCTGAAATGATTTTCCTAGGGGGGGGCCGTGGGGATCAACGAATTGCGTTTAGACCTTTGGCAGCTTGTTTTGGGAGGGTTCTGGAATCATATCTTCGGAAATCAAGAATATGGTCCTAGAGCCCCTTCATTTTGGAGCCTTTCTGTTGTCAAAAAACGGAATCAAAAATTGCACCTACAGTAAGCAAAACCCGCAATCTCACAAGCTCAATTATCCGCCTGTTTCCTTTGCTCCCATGCTAATCCCCTTTTCCTATTTCTAACCCCCCTAATGAATAAAAATAGATCCAGATGTCATTTTCAGGAAATTTCAGGTTGGTCAATTTGATCTTAATCGCCTTGAGAAAACAATTTTAAGGGTCAAGATCACATTTGAGGGTTCATCTTAATAATAAAAACCGATTGGCTGGGGACTGTTTATTATTCGCGTCCCTGACGATCATTTCATTGTTTGATTAGTACTTAAGGTTTCGATGTAGTTATCAGGGGAAAGCGTCGTAAGACAATTTTTGGCAATATGTCGAATACCAAGAGAATCCGAAACCCCAAAAAAGACAGGGTCTCTATGGAAAGCCGTGTTTTCCATTGAAAACCTAGGTTTTGTGGAATTACAGGATTTTGACAAATCCCAAAAAATTGACAATCTCACATGTTTCCATCGATACATTACCATCCTCCAACCACACCACCAGTCACGCATCATTTTGCATTGCTTACTTGATGTAACCCGCTTCCTGCCAATCAGCATACGCGATCTGCAGTGATCGTTGAAGAACTCTTTTGATTACCTGAGTAGGCGCCACGCGGCGCGCTACTCTGCTCTTCTTCCCGATGAAATCCTCATCGATCTGTACTCCGAAAGTCAAAGGGTTCAGGCTGGCAACATGAGCCTTGGCAAGACCCATCATTATATGGTGCACGATGTGGCACTTGGGAAGGTAAGCGAAAAGGGCTTTGGACTGAGAAAAAGCTTCCAACGCCAGCCGTTGATACAGACACAGAAATTGCATTCCAATGCCACCGATGCGATGGCAAGCAGAAACTTCAAGCCACAGGTCACTGGCGTACATTTCGTGAAAACAGCGGTTGAGAACCACAACTGCTTCGGCACACATGGATAAAATGAGATCATCCGCAACATTGTTTTTGGAGAACCAGCTTTCCAAGAAACGAAGTAACGTGGTCGTGCCATGGCCTTTATGCCATTGGCCATTAGGGAAGGTCTTCCGATCAGGCCATTCGCAAGATTCCTTGGTAATTGCAGTGATATATGCTGGCTCGCGAGACTCGTCACAGAATTGTAAATATAAGTCTGTCAACTCTAAAAACCTAGCATCCACTGTGCTCGCTCCAAAGCGATCCGAAATACAAGCCAGCACTGCTGCCACAAACGACTTTCCTAAGCCGAGGTGAAAAGCGTGCCAGACATCGTAGGCAAAGAATCCTGCAGCCCGGGCTGGGTCGTGAGGCAAACTCAATAAAATTGGTTTAGACTTCCATGGCTCGTCTCCGGGTGTGAATAAAGTACCCAGCCATGCGGGATCAGAGCTCAAATTCTCAAAGTCAAACCCAGGGCGGCCTGCCAAGCAAAGGTGGCAAATGCCCTTTGGCCGCGAGCCAGCGACCAAAGGTTTCTTGGGCACGTTTGAAAATGACCTTTCCAGGTTACCAGCTTTTGCAAGCCACATCCAGTCACCCACTGCATTGATGCAGGCAGCATGGTATCGCTGACCATCAGCATCCAAAACTCCATGCTCAAGCATGCGCCAGCAATCGCCCGTCGTATAAGTCAGAAGATCCTGAAGCGCGGCTTCATCTTTGCTCATTTTGGGCAGGCACCCAGAAATCATTCTGCTTGTGTTCGTTGAGCCGCAGTAGTTAAGTTTCATGCTCAAATACTTTCTTCTTTTCCTTTCGCTGTTGGCCAAGTTGGTTCCAAAGCCTAAAACTGAATGGAAGGATGTGACGAGAAATGGAGATTTCTTTCTCCCTCGCCCCTCGTCTCCATGCATCAAAACTGGAAGGAGTCGACCCTCATCGATGGCATACTTCTGAATGGCGTCAAACAGTTGATGCTGCGGATGGGCTATCCGATAAAGTCTCCAAAACTCACGAAGAATTGCCCTTTCTCTTTTGCCATCTGCGTTGTGGAGGCCAAGAAGCACATGCCATAAGCCATGGCTGACTATATATTGAATCCAATCCCGCAAAGCGATCACATGGAATGTCCCTGTGTACCGCACTCCAGGGGATTTCTGCAGTTCAGTGATTGGAATGCGGAGCGAAAGATTGAATTTTCTTGTTAATCTTTCAACATCCCTTTCGCTAGTAGTTTCATGACAACGGCTCAACTCTGTGAGCCCACGGCTTTTTGCCGCGACATCCTCTCCAAGATCGCTCACAATGCCTTTCGCTGCTCTGATTGCAGCTCTGCAGCTTGAGACCTTGGAACGGCGGGAAAAATTGGAATCATTGGAAAAAGTACAAATATATAGGGGTCGAGGTGTTGGTGGTATACGTTGGAAACCCAGTCTGATCGAGAACAAAGTCCCATGCAGCCAATTCATGGTGTCATGCTATGACAGCGATATCCCAGTCACTGCTGCAATGCGCTGCAATGCTGCAATTTTACTCCGGAACGATTTTTGCTTACGGATGCCGAAAGCTTAGCTGGCTCTTGCCGCTGCTTTCCATAGAGACCCTGTTTTTTGGGGTTTCGGAATCTCCTGGATATATATTATATACAAAAGTGAAGGGATACCCTTCACAACGGTCACGGAGGCTTGAATTTGAATGACCTGTGCACCAAATAACACATAGAGACACCGTCCACTTCCTCTGTGTTCACGGTGTCCCCCCCCAATCGCATGTTTTTGCATCCACGCTTACCTGGGACGGGAGAGGCAAACGCAGGGTTTCCGCCAACGACCGCGGCAAGCGTTTTCCGCTAAATCTTTGCATGGTGCAGCAATGTCAAAAACTTTGGCCCCTGGCTAGCCCCAAATATATATTCACCCATATAGGATATATACCAAGAAGTATATATATATATGTATATATTCAAAATCACATCCAAAGTTTTTGCCATTGCTGATTCAAGATGTGGTCATTGCAACATCAACATCGAATGCAGGCTAGATGCATTTGAAATATAAGATGAGTGCTGCTTCCAGCATCGATGTAGAATATGGTTCATGTGAAATGTGCAAGATAGTCATGTTCGACCATTTCTCTTTTGCACGGCAGTAACCATAAAGGTCATTTTTCCATCTCCAACATGGGTCATGTGTCCATCCAATTTTGAATATAACTGGATCCCATTTGTTGTATATCCGCTCAACTGTTTTGACACAGTGTTCCAACACACGTCCGGCACAAAGATTGGGCCGTGGTAGATCAAAAGCTATGCATGGCATGGCGGCAGATTCATCGGCAATGTTGAGAAGGCGCTTATTCCCTTGAAGTTCAAGTGGTAGATGTGCCAACCATTCCGGGACTGAAGGGGCGACGGGAGGACAGAGTGATGACGACAGGCCTCCCAAACCTTGCCCATTTCCGGCCGCCAGGCCGTCACCAGTGGCTGTCCCAGACCGTCCCCGCCCTAGCGGCACTGGCCACGGGAAAGGTCCTTCCGATTCCTTGATGGCTGACTGGGAAACGGATGACAGGACATGACCTTCACATCTTATAAATAATTTGTTATATATATACCCTGCCATCAATGGAGACATATAATCGACCCGTGGGTGGGATCATGGGGGAAACATGACCGTACACTCCCTTAAGACATGTTTATACTTGATCGCAATGACAATTGGTAACAACATGTTTCCATTCCATCGATCATTATTCAATTAATTGGGTATATGTTTTGTAGGTTCCTACAATCTAGATAGTATTCCATATACATATCAACTTTGTATTTTTGGCCAAGGGTCACTGCGGTGACAACAAAGCAAATCCAGCAGCTCTTCATCTGGAGTTTCATCAACATCCATGGCTTGGCCATGTGTGGCAACGGTAAATGCCAGAGCTCTATTATATAGTATAGTATATATACGAATAGAAATGCATTGCTTATATTCATATACATGGGGTAGCCCTCAAAACGAAATGTAATCCATTGATTAGTATATATACGGGGCACGTATTATTCAACACATGCCCATGAAATTGATTTGGTTCAACATATATATATATATACCTGGGAAAATGATATCGTTCTGATTGGCTGCAAGCTCCATCCATTGACCCCAAATGGCGAGCTTGTAGGCCGAATCGAAGTCATTGTCTTGGGTGATCCATGCACTGCACTCCCGATGCCTTTGAGGCCAGAACACCTTGGCCGATGTCTTTGCTGAATGCTTTCACGGCATTGCCAGCACCTGGCCAGAACAGACGGGCGGTTGTTGGACCTATACTATTTCGTCTATATATATACATACACGGTGTTGGGGCCTGGCAAGAAAGATATAGCAGGGTGTTGGCACTGCGGCACTATGCATCCAGCAAGATTGAAACCATTTTTCCGCTCGATCGATGTTGGTTTCAAATCCCAAATGCGAAGCATTGTTTCTGTAGACATCGCATCCAGTCAGCCCGCAGATGAAATGCCAAAAACAAATTCACATTAATTCACAGAATGTACTGTGCCCAAAACATATATAGGTGGATGGGTCTTGGATGGGCGACCAAACACGGACATGGATGAGTCCAGAATTCAACAAGTCCCGCAGGTGCTATCCTGTTTCATGTCGGTCGCAGGTGACCTGCAGGTTCCCTCAGGTGACACAAATTTGTTGGGAGTTCCAACAAAAAATGATTGCTCTATATATCGGCAATCCATCCCAAAGATCAAAAAATGATCAGCTCGAGTCAAAACATCACTTGTTTTTCTTGGACTTCTTCGACTTGGGAACTTCGGCGACTGCGCTCTCATCCGGTTCGCCCTTTCGTTTTTTGGTCTTCACAGATTTCGAGTCACGTTTGTCTGTCTTATCTTTCTTCTCCTTTTTCACAGGTGGGGATCCGGGCAAATCAGCGTCCTTCTTCTCATACCGTTTCGCATTCCTGGAAAAGATTGCAAGTATATAAGTAGGACACTGGGCATGGCGCTGATGCGCTGAGGTAAGGACCTCGTCTTTGCTTCCGCTGCGCAGGCCGTTGAGCACCTGGGCCATTGTGGGCATGTGTCAACAATTTTCAACCTGAACGAAATCATGTCAGGTTGACATGAAGATGCAATCAATGTATATATTGTATAAATATGTATACGCATGAAGAGTGGTACAAATTGCCATGAGGCCCACACGTGTATGTCGCATTGTTCATGGCAGTCGTGGCTTGGGTCACGAACCTCATCCGCATGATTTCATAGATGGGTGGAATCAAGGACTCCATTTTTATGATAAGTGCATACATTGAATCCCATGCAGGTGCAACTGAATGTGATCTGTTGGTAAAGTATATATATAATTATATATATATATATTGACTATATTTTTCTCAGTCCGTCACTCCGGCCCAAATCCATTCACCTCACCCTTGGCCATCACATTGTTGCAGACATCGTACTGGCCATCAAGTTTCTGGAGTTCGTCCTCCAGCTGGCGCTTGGACCTCCAGCGGCCGAGGGGTGGATCTATAATTCGGCGAAGGGCCAAAGCAAACTGTTCTCAACATGTTTGCAAAGAGGTGGAAAGTCTCGAGCGATTGAGAAGAAGACTTCTGCAGGACATCACTTTTTGAGTAGACATCGGCGATCTCCCGCACCAAAGACCTGATTTTGCCTGACTTCTGAATCATCGACTCCAAGAACTTCCGCAGCTTCTTCTTGGTCTGGTCAAGGATTTCCGGTAACAAATGTGACCAGGGATGGTATGGTATATTTTTGGTATCATAAGTTTGCTATGTTGTGGGATAATCTTGAAATATCTTGAAATTTGGTACTAAACTCAGGGAACCAGAAAACCAACCATCTAAATTCCATATCCCGTATATATACCCATCGATGTACCCAGATATCTATTTAACCAATATCAACATATGCCACCATATGCCCAAATGCAGGCAATGATATATATGGTCAACCAGGCCTCATCGGCTTGGCTGCTTGTAGAATCTGCTGGTTCTGCAGCCTCTGCAGCATGTCGGTCCTCCATCGCTTTGAGGCCGGCAAGTGCATTGGCCGACAGGTTCGGCTCCTCAGAAGCCTCCGGATGGCAAGAGTGGTTAACAAGAACCTCTCATGGAGTAAGAGGCATTTACTCGATTTTACTTTGAGACCAAACAGGGAAAACCAAACATGGATATAGACCATAAAGTTTGGCCATGATGTTTTTGATGGATCAACCAATGTTGAACCGACCAAGGCACCCATACACTTCATTAACTTGTTTACTTACCCCGCCTCCAAGGCTTTCCTTTTGCTCCGTGTCTCCTCTTCAACATGTTCCTGTTCCCGCTGTCCTTTCTCCTTGACAACGACGTAGTACTCCTCTACGCCATCGTAAAGGTTTTTCCTGCCAGACGGTTGACCAAGGGAAGGGACGGATATAAATGGTTCGAAGGAGAGAGAGGGAGAGAGAGTATATAGTTACGCAGAATAAAGTATATATGGACAATGTATATAAAATGATTATATATAGCTGATGCAACATCCATTGCATGGAAATGCATCCATGGAATTGAGATCTCCTTATGTGGGTCGCAGATCTCTTCATGCACAAAGCCTTTGCACCGTTGATCTTCGCCCTTGGAACAACAGGTAAACATTACACACTTCACTGTGGTCATATGGGTGTACCCAAGAACCCAATAGATTCAAGAATGCACATCTGATTTTATATGAGTTGGGTGTTGTAACAAACCCCTTTGAGATAAGCACGTAGACCATCCATAGTCATCCTTCATTTCTTTCTCAGACAGCCATTCCTCATCAATGGTCACCTTTTGGGATGACCGGCGTTTGACCACAATCTCCAGCGAAGCGATAAACTGTGCCTGTGCACGCATGTAGGAATATGTACCCCATGCACACACACATTGCTGATTGCATGACAAAACTGCACATGTAACCTACATGGGATGACCGGCCTTATCAAAGTTGCAATTCACCAGGAGAGCTGCTGTTTCATTTTGGGGTCGGCTTTTGTATTCAGAAACAACCCATTCCGGAACGTTCAGATCTTTACGTGTCTTTTTCGGTTTGCACATCCTTCGGATCTGGGCTTTGGCAGCATCGCGTAGCAATTCCTGACAGGAAAGGCCATTGCAAAACCATACCAACCCCATTATATAAACACCATCAAGTTGATGTTTCCATTGGTTGTGTAAATTCGTAACTCACGTATATTATATACATGCAATGATCATGTACAAAATATAAGTCAAGTCAAGTCATATATATATAGTAAATATATGCTGACCTGTTATATATAGAGAATGGTATGGCTTCCCATGTGAGATTCAGGTTGGATCAATGGGTGCTCCTGGCGAGTCTTCCCACGAGGCTTGGCGGTCCGATTTGGTGTAGGAATGGGCCGGACGGAGGCACCCTGATCCTGCGCGGCAAAAGTGTGCAGTGATCATCATGCATGACCAACTTCGGAAGTTTCCCCAAAAAAATAACCCCATATTAACTTCATTTGATGACTATGTTATATATACATATAGTTGAATGCAAAAACATATGGTCCTTGTGGCTCTCAACTTCAGATGCTTTTTGATCTCCATCTGTAGACTTTGGTTGTTCACCCAACGTGGACTTCGGGGTGGCTTCAGCGGGACTAGGAGTCACTTCTACACGGCTGGGAGCTGCAGATGGAGTAGCCGGTTCAGTGGGACTAGGAGTAACTGCTACAGGGGTGGGAGCTGCAGATGGAGTAGCCGGTTCCAAACCACCAGGAGCAAGTGCTTCTTGAACTTGGGTAGCAGTAGCCTGATCGACCAAGTCAATTCTCCTATCATATATAAAATCAAAGATATAAGTTGCATTGTTCCTCAACTGATTCATTCTATATACACACATAAATATAATAAGCCTTTAAACTTGTGAGCCATTTGGAAGTTTGAATGCAACATCAAAATCATATATATCCGAACTCGATCACCCATTAAATACCGTAGGTCACGTCATAACACATCTATATATTTATACATGCACCCTCCCCATGCAATATATATATATATTATATACCATGCGCACTGGCGTCTGCAGGCCTCTAGGGTCTCGGCGGTCGCAATGTCCGGTGCCAAAGTTGGCTCGGTCGGCACCTGGGGAGTCAGCACGGAAGGGGTTGTAGGGTGGGGCATGCATAAAACAGGATCCAACCCATTCCATCCAGTGTCCAATGTGTAAATATATGATTGAGTTTTGCACTGGGGCTGGCGGTGCGCTGCCAAGTGCCAACTGCTTCTTTTCCAGGTCCTGCCCATATACAATGGATATATACCGGGCATCCCAAAATTAATCGATATAAGGCAATGCAGGCCCGGGTGCTACAAATATATTTAAGGATGCGCATTCTGACATTAAACAATTTTAATAACACTGTCCTTGATCATGATCTCTAGTAGATTCTCTTCCTCATCGGCGGCATCGACCTCTGACATCAAGTGGGTGATGCCATCCTTTAGGGTATCGCAACTCCAAAGCCGGGAGCTCCCCATGGCTGAATCTGGCTGTCGAGACATGGTGAGACCTAAAAGTCTACCTATAGGTATGGTTCCAACCCACCAAGTGATCTCTAGAATGCAGCAGGGGACGGATAACAAGGTCTGGTGAATTTGGTGCAATCAAACATCATTGCCACAACAAGAAAATTTATGTTTGAATGATCCGTGGCAATCGGTGGCAACATTTTGCCATATCATTGCACGTCAAAGTCGGTCCGGGCCCGTAAACGAGGCCAAATTACACATAATTACCACCTTGGCCGTGAAGTGGAAAACCCATCTTTTTTTTACGGGTTCCTACGGGTTTTTTACGGGTTCCCTACGGGTTAAATACGGGTTCTAGAAAGTGGGGTTCTGATTGGAATGACAGAAATACGGGTTCCCTACGGGTTAAATACGGGTTTTCATAGTAGAAAACCGGGTTTTCCTGTCGGAACCTATCTTTTTTTTCCGCAATTTAAAAAAAAAACAGAAATTGCATTAAAACCACCACCTTAACTTTTTATTTGGTTACAATCTGGGTCCCCGACGTTCCAAATCAAACAATTCGGTGAAATGTGATCAAGTATGTTTGAAGGTTTTCTTATTCTGGTTTCACGGTCAAAGCAAAGGCTTTGGAACCAAATGCGACCATTGATTTGGGATGATCAGGTCTTTTCCCTGACGGAGATAATTGAATACGTTAATTACCTGGGCATAGTCTAGGGCGCCGATTTCATCTGGCATTCCCTCATACGACTCGGTGGCTTTCGGAGTCACTTTGGGCACAGGTGTTTTTCCCAACGCTGACGACACAAGATCGGAATAGAGATCAACAATCTTGAAGCCAAACCGTACAGGATATTGCCTCAGATGCACGAGGTTCCCATGTAATGTTCCAACCATATATATGAACCCCAAAAACTGTACTTAACCATACATGATTGTCTTCATATATCCCAAAATGAACCATCATGAACCATGCGATTTTATAAATCATGATTTTGATTTTATATAACATCTTAAAAATTATATTGGCTCCTCAAAGCACATCCCAACCCCGAAAATAAAAGTTACCACATGGCTTGAAAGGTGGTACCCCCACAACATGTCTCCCCACAACGCATCTTCCGATCTCAAAACCCAAAAGCATAAACGACGATCTACCCCAAAACAAACTTGGTGATTTGTTGGCTTGAGCTGAGCAGCTCTGACTTGCGAAGGTTACTGTTTCCAGTATAGCAGGTCTCTCCCTTTTTGTTTTTATAGGTCTTGCAGGTTTTCACCTTCAGGGGCCCCTCATACGGTTGCTTTGCACGCCGCCCCAGAAGCGGACCAAGGCAGAGGCGTGACAAATGGGGACTGTTGCCCCAAGCGTAGTGCGGCTTGGCACTCAAGCCTCCGTAGTGGGCCATGTACCACTTGGCACGGAATACCTGGAGGCGAGAGGAAAGGTATATATGATATATTATGTATACAGGGTATATTAAGGGGATTTAAGGGGTATATATATATATATGTGATAGACTGGGTGCATGGACAAAGATGGTATGCATTGGTAAATTCAGTGACCCTGGCCATACAAATGGAAGTCCAATATTCAATTTCTCATGGGTCATCCAAGATTACCCAGAAAGTATTGGGGGCCAAAGCAACATATAGTTCTACATACGGGTCCAACCCATTCCTGAACCATGACACGCAAAGGCATTTGAATTTGGTTGCATGCGACTGAAATGAAAGCAACACATTAACTCTGCTATAGCCATTGAAGACTAGGCACTGCAGTCCCACGGTTGGCTTCGAATATTTGGGCAAGTAGGGATTGGAACGGTGGAAAGTATTCCAGAACTGATTGCTCGGGCTGTTCCACAAACCATGCTCCACCCAGGGCCGTCACCACAATCAGGAGTAAACATAGCCTCAATCACAAATCACTTTATCAACATACAAACCCCATGATCAATCCCACAAACATATTTTCTTATATATCCCCATCAAGAAACCGGCCAGCCATGGTGTTGCTGGTGTACACGGATTCGTACTCCTCATACCCAATTGAAGTACATGGTGTTCGAAAGCTGGTCCCGCGGTTTACCGCGGACCAAGACGAACACTTGATCGCAAACGTTGCAAGGAACTCTTCCGCGGAGCACAGCAAAGAATGCAGGCACAGCCTTGGGAAGGAACGCGGACGGGATACCATAGTGACCAATGCTGGGGGTAGCCACATATCAAGAAAGACTGCATGGGGATATAAACATTGTGTTGTCGAATGGCAACCGGTTTTAAAAAACACTTGCCATGTAGGGAGATCATCTGATTTTGAGACATCCCCATATATAGGCAACCAAGAGATACCACCATATAGACTAAGGTTGAACAGTCGATCTATATATATATGGTTTCCTCATAATACCCCAATATCGTTTCAAGTTTTTACGATCGAATTTATATGCAGAGGTTTGGGACCTTTATTGAAATTGAGAGGCGTCCATCCCACCCCACACGTAGGAACTGAACTCATGGGGTTTATATCAATGAACGGACCATCATGTCGTTAAAACCACATGATGACAATACACAAATCTTTGGCGTCATTTGAATGGACAAAAGACGCAAAACCGGAGTCTGACAGGATGTCCATGCTGTTGGAACCATATGAGCGACCAGGTTTCTGAGCATCGAAAAGGATATCAAACGATGCCGTTGTCAGCCCACTGGCCCTGGCGCACTTGCTCAGGTTGGCGTTCCCCGCGAAAAACTCGAAGAGCTGGTATTCCTGCACAAGGCCACGGCAGATATCGGGTATATCGAAAATGTTGGGCACTGGCACTTGATCAATTTATCAATTTGACATGTGACTTGAATCGGGGATTTTTTTATCTTCAAAAAAAACGTTCATGATCCCATCGTTGTTCCTCGCCT